ATTACAATCTCTGATTAAAAGTTCACTCACGTATTAGTGCAGGGATCTGCCTTTTTAATACAAAGCCCTTCATTCAGCCATTTAGACAGTTTCCAATTTGATTCCAAGCCTGGTAGATCTCTTAACAATGAATTTCCTCTGCAATTGTAATATATTTGCACATTTATGCACAACTAGGATGCTGTGCATCCTCCTGAAGTAACAGAAGGATTAATGTAAGACAGTAGCTCTTATCCATATGTCTTGGGTAGGGGGGACAGTGCTTTCATCAACCAGGATAAAGGCAGAAAATGCATTAGATGTCATAACCTGGAATAGAGGGGAGAGAAAGTTTTTTTTCAAGATGAAGCAATTTCTCTCCCTTTTCCTAACACCAACTGATATGGCTCAAAATAAAAAATAAATAAATAAATAAAAAAGAACAAGCTCTTGGGCTCAGCATCCTTTCATTAGCTCTGAAAGGACATGGAATTTAAAAGCTTGCATCTTCCATCTATCAACTGCTCTAATAAAAGTGCAAACCTGCCCTCTCTCTGACAATTTTAGTGATACTTTAGTGAAGTAATTTTGTTACTGTGTTTAAAGTAGTAAGAATGTAATATAACCTTGAATGCTGCAGCTTCAGAGTATGTACCCTTTATAACATCATTTTTGTCTAAAGAACATTTTCAGAAAAAATGATTCCCTTCTTCAATCCACTGATAACAGGTGGTAGATTCAGAAATACTCTAAGCATTACAATTTAAGATAAACCTTTCATAATATACAACAGCCACCATGAAAAATAAGCATTTGCCAAAGGTCCTTACAAGGTTATCTATCTGTCATATTAAGCAGGTAGGTATACACATTATACAGGAGGAAGAAAAAAAGGTATCTTTGCCTCCAGGTGGCAACTGTTTACAAATACTCTTAATTTTACTGCTATGAATAGCATTCTAAAAGTACATATCACTGTAAGGTAAATGTTGGTAAATCTAGCTTTTCAAGGGGGACTGTTTTTATATAATTTCCTGGTCAGTCTTATAAATATATATGTTTAGGAACAAAATAAATGCCTAGTATTCAGGCTTCATGTAGAATTCTGTTAGAAAAAAACAGTGAATTCCAAGAGAAAAAATGGTACGAATGTTCAGCTCCTTTCCCGGAAAGCTCACTCATAATAGTAGTAGCAATGAATCCAGTGATGTAAGAACTACACATCTGAGCCAGAACTGCAGGCAATGATATTTTATTTGCCTGAAAGATATGTAGCTAGACATTCTCTCAGATTAAGCAGAGAGAATTTCCCAACAAGGCTGAAGGGAGAATAGCTGGGCTATCTCATTCCACTAGGAGATAGCACGCAATTGGTAAAAATAAAAAAAAAAAAAAAAGAAAAATCACTGTTGCACATCATACATGAAAACAGTGATCCATGTTAAGCACAGAAGGTTAGTTGTTCTACCAAAACAGTCTTCCACCCTCACTCGTTTTCTACCAGGACATATAAAACAAAATCCCAGAGGTTCAACAGAAAATTCTGCATGGACCAGGATCCTTTACTTTCTAAACCAGTGCTTTTCTGGACAATGACTAGGATGAGATCCTAAGTATGAGCTAAAGATTAAGTGGCACTCCCCCTTGGAGCATGCTGGCTTTGGCTCGGATTCTGCACAGGCTACTGATTACTGAGATTAAATGAGAAATGTTGAGACTGTGACAACTGGTCTGTTACTGAACAGCTTTGCTACACTCCTAAGATATGAATTTACTTAGAAGGCTGCCTCTTCCCCCTATATATTTAAAGTTTGCAAATGACAAGGCTCTTGGCAGTTGTCTTAATACCGGTACTATTACTCGACTAATTTCTTTGGCATTCCACTTGCAAAATAGGCCTAATGATATGTTCAACTAATGGAACAATTTCCCTATATCTATATTCCACTTACTCTAGTGCACTGAGGTGTAACTCTAGCTTCATTTCATTATCACTTGACTAGCTCAAGCACTTGGATGTCTTTTTGGATTTATTAATGCACCAGGTTTAAAGTAATAACTATTTATGTATATAACTCCATGAATATATTCTTCTTTCTAAGCATTTTTGTCCACATTTATTAAAGTAGATGTATTTCATAATGTTTCTGAATGCGAGACACACTTTAAAAATGTCTTGATGTTTTTTCTCTAAGCTGAAAGCAATATCTGAGTGTTATTCTCTCCTGTGAATGTTCAGATAGTGTCCTATCAATTTAAATTTAGGGCAAGTCTATCCTTAAAGACTTTCATTTCACTACATTAATAGATTCACTTTAAAACAAAACAAAACCACCAGAGTTTTGGCAATTCCTTCCACAGTCTAAATATCAGGAATTTATTGCCAAAGGTGGAGACAATTGCTAGTTCCTTGACACAGAGCCATGTTGACTAAGTCCTCTGTGCAAGAAACCAGTCCTGCAGAGATGGAATATCTCCACAACAGCAGTCTGCTGATAACTCATCAAAGTCTCCTATGTTAAATGCAGATGGCAATTCACAGGAGACCAGAAAAAAGGAACAAACAGCAGACATGATGGCCATCTGGTGATCGCCATCCAGACCTTCAGCTGATGTTCTCACCAACAGGCTATAGGCAATTTAGGAAGGGGCTGACTTCAGCTGACATCTGTTGAAATGGAGCTACCCTGCAGAAAAGTGTCAGTTCAAGATGGCAAAGAAAGCCTGAGACTGTATATTAATCATTAGGGCATTTGTCCAGGAGACAGACCCAGGTACTGACCGTTTCTCCGGGGATACTAATGGAGAGTCATTTGGGTAACGTGTATTTTCTGCCTCTCCCTGTCTCCTTCCAAACTGAAGATCTAAGTGACTAGTATAAGGGCATACCAAATGTCCTTGGTGATACAGGACATTAAAATCAGATCTCCCGAATCACCAACTACCGATCTAACCATAGGAAATCCTTCTCTGAGTCAGGGATAAAGTTTTAGGTGCTAAACTTGGATCCCTTTAAAGCTCCAGCTCACCAGCCAGTAGGTGGTCTGATCCTTCTGGAAACCAGCATCATTAAGGCATATCAAAACTAGTATTCAGAATCATTACTTATGAGAAAATCGCAACGGGGAGCCTATGAAAATGGGTCCTAAGATCTTTTAGCAATCTATACCAAACTGTGGCTGCTGAGAACTAAAACATCTTTCTCTGGACAGCTGTCAGTGTAAGCATTGGATCAAACTTTTGCATAACCACATACATGCAAACAACAGGATTTCCTGCACCTTAGAGGGTTCCCACTACAACCTCCTCTCTATGGTCACATATCAAATGTCCAGTCTCAGTTCAAGCAAAAAAATTGTAATAACTTTCAATGCATGAGAATAAACATATGTACTATGGTACAACTGTTCAACTATATAATGTCGTGTAATGCAATTATAAGTCTTATATAACATGACATCCAACAACACAGGTTCTCTGTAGACAGGAGTTCAACAGTATCAGGTTTTGAAAAACCCAAAAAAGAAATAAATCTCCCATCTTCCTCTCTTTTCCCCTTTGCGCTTGCCATGCTTCAGCTCTGAAGCATCTTTTTGTCTCTCAGGCTTTCAAACCCAAGTGGGTTTCATATTTATGACAATGATATCAGGCTTTAATCCATTATTTCAAAGACCTTAATGATGAAGGTGAGTATTAATGCTCTAATTTGTTGACAAAATGACACTGTAGTCTACTCTTGCTAAATCTGAAGGGCAGACACAGAGCCAGCAACAGCAGGTGGGGTACTGCCACTTTATCTTATGTGTTGGGGTACACTGCCAAGAAAACCTAAAATCACACAGTGAATGGATTGGATGTGAATGCAGTCTTTGAAATGCATGTTCAATGTGCTCCAGACAAAAATATTATTAAGCAGTTAGACACCATTCTATGCTACCTGAATAATTCAATAGGTCTTTAAGTTTCAGCTGCCAATCATTGTAAACTGGAGATTACAAAGTCATCTACAAAAAGCTTTGTTCTAGTGAGATGAGACAGAAGCATCACAATTTCCATACTACCAGCCAAAGTGAAAGGAAAAAAACACTGTGGCTACTGTGACAACACGGTCCTGCAGAATTAATGGAGACTCAGAATACACCAAAGCTCTGCTTCCTATTTCTCAAAGGCCCTTTCCACCAGACAGACAGGCATGGGGAGTATTTAAGTGACTGCCACTTCTGAAATGGGTGATAAAACAAAATACTAGAATCTCGATCTTGTCACATATAGTAGGACTGATGTCATAGAAAACAAAATAAAATGGGAGAAGGTCAGGGTTGATAAAAAAACTGAACACAGATTTCTAATGATATACGATAAAAATAAATCACAGGCACATGGGGGAGGAGAATAACAAATTCACTATCCATCAGGTTTTCTTAAATTCTGGAAAGTAACCTCCTGTGTGAAACATAAGATGAATGGCTAACATTTCCCAAGTGCTCCAGTGAGAGCCATCTTTCTCCCATTCACTCTTGCACAGGGACAGCTCAAGTTTAAAGTTCTCATTCAGATACAGTTGGGCTCTAACCACTGCGGTATCTTTTCAGACCCAGAGAAACCCTACCAGCATTGTTAATGAAAGAGCAAAGCATGTACAAAGTGCATGGAAAAGCAATATACACTAGTGTATATACATTAGTGCAAACCATTTTCTTCTCAGAGTCAAGTGAGCCACTGCCATGCACCAGGTTTCGGGAGGAGAGATGGATACAGCAGAGAATGAAGAAACTAGCTGTACTGAGCATACAAAAGCAGGCCTGCATTTTGCAAAAGTAGTATTACAAGTAGTTTTACTGGTTCAAAAATTTTAAATGTCTGCATTTGTCCAGGATTAGAGCCTCTACGTACAGCTGATCTTTAAAGAAAGTTCACATTTTAATATCTGGCTTAGGCAGGGAAAGAAGAAAGGATGCCAACTGTTGTCTTTCTACTGCATAATTTTTTAAAGTCAGATGGCAGTCGATTACTATACTTACTTAGAGGGAAAAACTCGCCCATTTTCTTCTTGAAAATTTTGTAGTCAACCTCCAAAAAGACACAGAAGATGATACGATCCACCTATAAGAAACAAAATTATTCACAGTGAAATGATCGCAGTCATAAACATTGGCAATAGTAGTTAATAAAAGTGAAGGAACTTTTAAGCCAACATGCTTTTATGCTCCAGGCAAGCAAGAATATATCACAGGGATGCATGTTTTGACTGTATTGTGCATCTGTGTTGTAATTTATAAAATAACATTTGTGATTGTATCTCACAACTCTATTCTTTGTTAACTGCCTCCTGTTCATGCAAACCACTCTTGAGCACAGTATAAATGACTTTTGGCATTCTAGATGAGTACTGGGATGCAATGTTTGATGAAAGAGTCACATGGGGGGCTTCTAATAAGCATACAAACGAGTAAACGGGAAAGCAAAGAGCTCTTTTTCCAATCCTTGTCCGACAAACCTATTTGCAAAACCATTTAGTATTTTAAAATGGCTTTAAAAGGTTTCATGCGGTTTTAATTTACATGAAACCACTTACTCTTGCTATAATACAAGCAGAATGCAGCAAAACCAAAAGCTGATTAGATGACAGGTAGCACACAGGGTAAATAAAACATTTAATATGCCATCTACTTAGCAAGGCTGAGCATATCAATGAAACCACAGCCCATAATGTATGCACCACCCACCAATGATTTCAAATAAATTGGGAGATTATTGCATGTGAAAGGATTTTCTACAAGAGACCAAAAAAAAAGCCAACCAAAAACTAAACAGAATTCCAAAGCCTTTAGGACTGAAAAACAACCACACTGGACTTCACTCTACCCTTGCTATTTCTTTGTTTTATCTGTTTGCATAGCTGAGCACCAGTTGCCTCTGCAGCCAAAACCCAGCTCCGGGAGAGAGCTGGGGAAAAGACCCTCCCATGGCTGAGCTGAGGGACCTGCAACCCAATAATCAAGTCTTTCTCTGAAGTGCATGAGAGCTTAACCAGAAAGGGATGAAGTCCAAGCAATAGGAAATTCAGCATCTTGGCTGGAATTATGCTGTCCTCGTGTCTCCATGGGCAATCAGATGATCTGTCATAGCAGAGCTCCTCAAGAGTGCCTTTGCACATGCTAGCAAAAGCACCAGCCTCCCTCCTGCAGGGAAACCGGCGGGAGGAACGCTCTTAAAAAATGTCTTCTTTCCCTTATCTTCAGTAGAAAATGCTGTCCTTTTGGTAGAGATGCTCTCTGAAGCAAAGTACAAGTCTTGGCTTCAAAGATACCATTATGCTGAGCAGCTCAGGACGTCGTTTTAGAGTTCATTTTGGAGCAGCCTGGTAGAATCCCAAGGAACAAGAGCAGGCAGCAATCGGTTATGCTGGAAAATGCTAGTAGTTGCTAACAAGGACATCTCTGAATCAAAGCTGACTGCAAAATCTGAGAGAGCAAATCAGTTAGGAAATATGAGACTGAAGGTACAGGCTACATGAGCATTAAGGAAGAAAGAGGCTTGTGGAGAGGAGAGAAAGCAGCTTGGGCGGATGCTGATTGCTGGGGAAGTGTATCAGCAGATCTGAGAGCAAGAAAACTGCCTTTTCCTGTCTGCTCATACGATGTTCACAGAAACAAGCTGTTCTGTGCACACCTCATAAACAAACCAGCAAATACCTTAAAAATATGCTGGACTGTGTCATCGGCTACTCTTCACTAGTAATATAATAAAGAACCTAAATACTGGTTAGGTGCTCAAGCCAAAAAGCCATACTCCTCTGTGTACTCACAAATTTATAACATAAAGCACCGGTGGTAAGGGGTGCCACATTTTACCTGCATGAAAGTTTCTACCTAAGTAAAGTTGTGTGTTTTCAGGAGGGAAGCTTTAGACAGTGAATGCTTCAATTACATTTATTGTGAAAATTGGTTTAGGATAGTGCTGGGGTGATGCTAGATTGCCATCTTCTATTTCTGACTCCCCAGAGGAGCAGATATTCAAGCGCTACGGTGACAGGCCCAATATGTGAACTAGAACGGATGGAAGAGCAAGGACAGAAATTTACAAACCAGAGGAGGAATGATATTCCCATGCAGAGCAGTTCTGAGTTGTCTTGCTCTCTGTATAGTCTCATACTCTCTGCTGTAAATACTACAGATGTTTTCCTCATTTTATATAGTACAACTTCTCAAGGTGTTCCCTTTACTTTTATTTATTCTGAGCAGTTGACAACGATAAAACTTCTGCAGTCCTGAGAATTTCTACTACTTCTAATATAATTCCTTAATTTAAAGATAGGGAATCTCTCTAGAAACAGCAGACTATTTCAAAATTTCCACCCTCCTGACTGTATACATCCTATATATAAACCTGTTCAATTTCTTCTTGGTGTGAGAAAAAGTGCTCTATTTTTAAGTATGCACAAGATATTGTGATGACAGCTGAAATCCTGTGTTTATCTGATTGAATGGCATGTGTTGGCAGATAGTAAATCTGAAATTAAACCATATTCTATCATCCTGCCAGTCATTGACTATTTTCTCTAACATCCCCATCTAAAATAACTCGGAATTAGGTATGGACGGTAACCCTCGTCCTCACTATTCCCGCTCCAGCTACAATAAGGAAAGGTTTAATCCAAGTGACTCCAAACTTGCCTTGCCTGCTTCCTCACAAAAGCTCAGCAGGCCTTTTGGGATGTGCACTTATGAAAGCCGCTTCTTATTCAAAGAAGAAATCTCTCCTCTCATGTGGCTAGGAAATGCCAACTTGATTAGATGTTTCATCTCGCCCCTTTACCGAAGGCAAGGAGTAGCCCCCAGGGACTCCCCCGAGCATGCCCAGGGAGCCCCCAGCGCCTTTTGTAGGTGCCTGGATCCTCCACAGCTGACCAAGCACCGTTCAACTGCAGCAGGAGTTTAAAGGAGCTGCAAGTTGAAGGCATTAAAGCTCATCCTTGACTGACAGCTCTTTTTTTGGAGGCTGGTATTAAAATCAACCATCCCCTGTCAGAGCCTGATTAAATTCTGCTCGCTTCGCAACTATGAATAGGTGGATCAAAGAACCCCAAAATTAAGAGTGCCTCAGCACAGGAAGAAGGGAGTTAAATTGCATGAGCTGTTCACTTAGTAGGCAGCTTCACAGCTCAAGGCTGCAAGTACATTGATTATTTTTTTTTCCTTTTTTTTTTTTTTTTTTTCTTGGGCCCAGCTCTCCTTGCCAGGCTCTATTTAATTTTAAGGGGAATACCTTCCATGTGGTTTTGCTAGCTGCACCTGATAAGGATCAGTAAACTTCTGGGGCTCCACATGGCTCACAGGGCTCAGGCCGTTTTGCAATGGCATGGACCCAGAGACAATCATTACTGCCAGGGTTTTACAAGGGTACAGCCAAATCTCATCAACTGAAAACCCCTCCACTGAGTATAAAAGCACTGTTGGTCTTAATAGCAGCAGCACTGATCTTAACACAAAGAAGGCAGCAAAAATACTTCCTTCTGGTTTTTGTTCAGTGGGGTTTTGTTTCTTTTTTCCCACCGTGACTCTGAGAGCACTTTGCATCTAGTGAGTTTTAAGTTTACTTGTTAATGCACCTTGGGTCAGTTCCCTCGTAGCCCACTAATGGCCTAGCAGAGCCCCACAGGAGGCGGGGGGGGTGGTGGTGGGGCTGCTCAGGGGGCGCGCAGTGGGGAGCTGAGGAGGGGTCCCCCAGCCCCCACGGCAGAGGTGGGAGCTGCACCCCTGGGCGGCAGGCGAGCCCCGCTGCCGCGCGGGCACCGCCGGCCAGGCACGGCGCTGCCCGCAGGAGGCGAACGGGGCAAGATGGACACGCACCGCTTGAACAAACAACCGCGAGCTTCGCCACAGCCAAAGCCACAACAAAACAAGAGTCTGCCGGCGCGTTCTGGCAACTGTACGCTATTTTTTTTTTTTAAGGATTCTTTGATAAGAAGAAAAGCTCTGCCCTCCTAGCAAACTAGAAGCACGTGCCAAGTTCCCTGATGGACCCTTCCCTCTACTGCAGTGGCACTGCCTGTGTGCGCGCACATCTGTGCGTGCAGCCACTGATATAGGAGGAGTTTGTACTCCACCTATACATTTTCGGATTGAAAATGTCTGGTTTTATCCCAGCTCTCTTGCTGTGGCCTCTGGCAGGTTGTCCAACTCCTCTGACTTAATACCCCTATCTGTTTAGGGGACAGTAATACTTAGTTGTGCACTTACACATTGCTACAAAGAGGTATTGCCAAGCACAATCCACTGGACATGTCAAATGTTGTCACATGTATGGCTGTATGTGTACCCAGGTGCCAAGCTGTATATATAAAGCACAGATTTGAAGCAGAAAACTGATCAAAATATATTCTAGAGTATTTTATCTAATGAGTGTTTCCATGTCATTGCCACCTTGTGTCCTAACAAAATAACAGTTCACAACGAAAATAAATCCAACTGCATTTCAACACTCCTAAGTATTTCATGCATTTCAGTACCAAGATATTTACCCAGCAGGCAGTGACTGGTTTTTCTTATATGTGACAACAAGTTTCATCATATTTAAATTTTACCAGAAAAGACACAATAGAAAAACAATGCTCACTGGTAAAAAATATTTCCCAATCACAAATCAAATGAATAGTAACAAACAACAAAGAGAATGAAGCAGCTTCCTGCTTACTGTATGTGTAGCAAAGCCCTTTATGAAATGCCCTTGCCTGATCCCACTAGGACCTATTGATGTAAGGTGATGGTGAACACCAGAAGCTTGCTGTAACATTTTTAGTTTATCAAACATTCTGAGAACTTAATTCACAACTCAGTGAAGTCAAACAGAGGATTTTCATTGACTTCAGTGTGCTTGAATTGCAGCTGATACTCCATAACACCAGAAATAATATTTGCCTCCTTAAGAATTAAAGTTCTTCTGATATTCAAATTTTATTACCCTAAATCTTCAGCTACTTTCTCAAACATACCCCTAACAGTCACAGTTCAGAGCCGCCTGTACCCACTAAGACTCCTTGACTACAGTGTCTGTCAGGAAGAAGCCCTGAACCTTTAACTGTGCCACAATCCCACATTTTT